ACTAGTGGCACTTATTTGGATACTCTGTTTTGTAATGCTTTTGTGGTCTGAGTTGTAGTCCTTATCAATACATATCATTATACTTATCTGCACGTAATGACTACTGAATTGTATGCTTAAATCTGGTTATAGAAAATGCCACTGCCGCACACTTGCCCTTTTTTCGTTCGGTTGCATGCGTAAGAGCAGTACGTCAAAAGTGATATTAGGTTTAGGTTATGTGCTCCTTAGTATGTGGTCCTACCCAAGCCGAACGAGCTCCCAAGTTTTAGGGGTGGCTATATCACTTACCAAAACAGAAACTAAGCTCTCCTCGCAGCCCATGTAAAGTAAGAAGTTTGGAACGATTAGTTACCGTGGTTGTATAACCATTCTGTCTAAAGGATGCTGCTCCTCAATAAGATTACCTCTCCTTAAAATCAATAATTATTCTACAGCTGATTGCAAAGAGTCCATATATTACTCTAAAATGGAGTTACTTCAACTCAAAAACACAAACTACAAGAAAATTAATTTCATTGAAACTTGAAATAACCAGTCCAATTTCCACGGCAAATGGAAGGTCAGGGTAATACTTAAAGATACAGGAATCTTGTGGGATTGACTCTTGGACTACCTTTTTTTATTAGCCTTATTAATAGCCTTCATGCAGGAATCTTGTGGGATTGACTCTTGGACTACCTTTTTTTATTAGCCTTATTAATAGCCTTTATGCATACATGACCCTGAGACATAAACTCAATCATCTGTTACAACAATGTCTGCGTCTAAGGATGTCCAGTTCACTTTGAAAGTTATGATAAATAGAGATAAAACTAAGGTCCTCTTTGCAGAGGCCGACAGTGATTTTTTCGATGTTTTGTTGAGCTTCCTGACACTGCCATTGGGAAGGATCGCAAAAATCATCGCGGAACACTATGGAGACGACAAACCCAGTGTCGGGAGCTTGACCTCTTTGTACAATGGTCTTGTCAATCTTGATGTTGTCCATTTTCATACAGAGACAGGTAAACAAATGCTGCTAAACCCGAGAAGTGTTTTTTTTAAAGAATGCCGTCAGATGAAGCTGAATCTTAGTGATTCTGAGCCCACCAAGTACTTCACATGCGATCGGCCGGTGAGTGGGAAGCACAATATCACCATGTACTATGATACTGTTAGATGTGATTGTGGGAAAATTATGAGCAGAGAAGCAAAAATTATATCGTCTGAGACTGCTGAAGATGGCGATGATGGAACTTTTTGCACGAAAGGTGCTTCCTTTATAATTAGTGATGATATGCGGATGGCGCTAGCAGGGTCCTTCTTTGGGGCTCTAGCTGAACTTGGTATTAGGGACATCAAAGGGGCCGAGTTGAGGAATGTAACGTTTGGATATAATGAGGTGAGTCCTGATTCTATTCTAATAAGCTAACTTACATTATGTGTGTTTTTATAGTCGATTCTCTCTCAAAATATAATATTATAAATAAAAATCAAAGCTTTTCGAATGATCTTAATATGAATCCTTGTATATTAAGCTGCTTGCCTTTTTTTTTTTGCTAAATATGAATTGTCTTTGTTCTTCGAATTATATTATAGATTTGCTGAAAGGCATGCTCGTTTCACGGACTCCCTTGACCGATATCATAATCGGCAAAGGTCAAAGCAACTCTGACTTTTTGAAGTTTAAACCTGGAGTTTTCTTACCAAAGACTGAGAAAGCAGCTGCTTCCAACTCTGAGAAGATGATGATACTGAAAGTCATAATACAAAAATCTACGCAAAAGTTACTGTTTGCGCTAGCGGAGGATGATTTTGCCGATTTTCTCTTTAGTTTGCTAGCGATCCCACTCGGTGGAGCTTTGTCACTTAATGGAAGCAGCACTTGTCCTACAAGTTTATACAATTTGTACACTAGTGTACAAAATATTAATGATGATAAGTACTTGGTTAAAGATACAAAGGTCAAATTACGGGAAACCAAACTACCTTTTGGATATATGTCCCCAAACCAACTTATCCCTCTAACCGAAAGAGGATCTTCTGATACTCATTATTATGAATCTGGGTGTGGAGCGTCCAATTTGCTTCATCTCAAGTCTCCGAAAGGCAATGAGAATTATGTAAAGGGCCCAACAACTTATATGGTGACCGATGATTTGACCGTGACTCCATTGTGTGTGACCTCAAGCCTTTCTATTTTGGATCGGCAGGGAATACCGTTGTCTGATGTCGAAGAATTGGAGCTTAACATTGGGTTGGAAGAGGTAACTATGATAAGACATTATATCGCGTGTTCATTTCGATCGTTCGATTTGTTTCCATGACGAATATTTTTTTTTTCCAATTATAGAATATTGTTCTATCTCTACTGTAGGCTCTGAGCATTTTGAAGGCATCTCTCACCTCGACTTCGGTGCTGACCAATGGCCTTTTCGAACCATCAATAAGAAAGTGTGTGAAACAAGAACAGTGAGGCCAATGTCTGGAGGTTCCTGCATTAGTGTGTGTTGTTCCTAATCTGTGCTACACTTCTGGCTATCCATGTTTTTTTCCTCATAATTAAGTGAATTTGTGTCAGATTTGGTTTGGTTTATGAAATTATGGCGAAATTTGATTTACGGCCCCTTAAGTTGGCCTATTTTCGAATTTTATATTGAACTGATTTAGTTCGCCGTGCAGGACATGAATGATGCTGAAAACAGTCGGAGAAATGTAAATGTTGTCTTTGGCATGTTACACATTCTTCTTCTTTTTCCTGAACTAGTAAAGTGCACGTGCGATGCGTGGTGTCAAATGATTTTCGCGGAGTAAGTTTGTAAAATAAATTAATTTATTTATTAAACATATCATTGCATAAATGAAGTAAAATTTAGAAAAAATGAACTCATATGTGATCTTTTTATTTAGAATTAACATAATGATGTCCTCACATAAAAATAGTGAAATAAATTTTTACAAATCCCAACAAAAATATATATATAAAAAAAAAAATCCTAATAAAAAAAACACAAAGATTTTCTTTCATTTTAGTTTTAACGTTCTCATAAGAACATTCATAGTCGTTGGAGTCCAATACATCAATACTATTGCAAAATTTCTCTTAATTAATTTGGCAAAACGCCAATTTTATTCAAACACTTAAGAAACATTCTGACCCAACATATAGTCAAACTTCATGATTGTATGATCTTTATAACAAGGTACTTCTACTAACAAAGAATAAATATCTCTATGAAATAACTAACGGTGTCACTAAAATTGTTGATATTTTTTATCATTGTATAAACTACTACATTCATCTATCTCTAAATATATTGGTATCTACCCCATTGATGAATCGCCCCACGAGGTGGGAATGGATTTTATCTCCAAATAAAAGTTGACTTTCCAAAATCTTGGTTACATGTGCTTCTCCCGAGGTGCTAAATTATTTTTTGAAATCATCATACATTACCTGAAAGTACTTCTAAAGTAATTGCACATATGTTCAAGCACAATACACCAATGAAATTACAAATATTTCTATAAACAACTTAATTCTAACATTCAAAACTGTTTTGATACTCCTACATTTCATTTTCAGTGTTATTTATCTAGAATATAGACGAACAATATAATCTATTTTTTGCAATGATAAAACAAAACAATGAGAAAATATTGAGAAGCATATCATTTGTTGAAATATTTAACAACAGAAGAATTAGAATTTCATTATATGACGATACTTTTAGTCATTTGTAAAGTTTATTATTATGGAGTCATGATTAAAATATACATCATGTATACAAATTTTTAGATTTTTTAATTATTTAAAATTGAAATAAATAATATATGATCATTATTTATGAGAACCAATTTCTTACAGAGTCCATATATTTAAACGCTAGCAACAAAAAAATAGTAATTTTAAAAGACTTTTTGTTTGTAAATATTGGTATTCATACTTTTCTAAGAAAATTAGCATGTTTTCTTTTTCTCATTGCATTACTATTATATTATTTGTTTATTATTCTATAGACAAATAATATTTTATTTGCGAAGTAACTAAAGCACATTTATACGTATTATGTTATTTTTTGTATGTGTTTTATATAATGATGGTATCAAATTATCTTATTTATTAGGCTACAATTAATATAATTACATAAGATTAAATGTAATTTAATATATTTGATAAAATTGTACTTTTTAGGAATTATTAGATTAAAAAGTTTTAGAGTTTTTTCCAATGTTTGATAAAATATTAATTAACTAAGTCATTTTCATAATCACTGAATACATATATGGTACCACCATTATAGGGTTCACTTTGCAGCAGTAATTGACTTCACATAGCTAATGTTATTTCATTTCCTTTCTTTGGCCTAACCTTTCCTTTTATCTATGGCTTCACATTGCTTCGCTTCGTTTGTACCCTAAGGTGCATTTTCCATAGTTTCAGCATTACGACAAACTCGTGTCAAATATATATCGGATTTGGGCGCTCTAGCCAAAACGTGGGAACAGTTAGAAGTTTACACTCATAGTTTTAATATGAATTGTTTCAAATTTATGTATGGAAAACATAACACAAGTTTATCTTATGTTAATTTATACTTAATAAAGTTGATTTAACTTGAATATAAAATTTATTATATTATATACTTTAAGACTAATTTATTATTTTAAATTAGTACAGATATATATATATGTTATTTTATATCAATATAAATAATTATATTATTTTTATTTTATTGCAATATATGGGTCAACTCAAACATCATTGAAAATAAATGATGTGATATATTACATATAAAAAGGTAACAAATAAAAAATATGAAGTATATTTGAAAATTAAAAAAATTTAATGATAGAAAGTAATGAAAATCTTAACTAAAAAATTTTAAGTTTAACATACCCACTTTTAAAGAAATATACATATGAATATATAGATATATACATATGTATATATATTATGTACTTAAAAGTTCTAGTTAAAATATATGTGTAACTTAACCCCTTGATAGAAAAAATTCCCCCTCTCTCTCTAAACCCTCGTCCCCAAAAATTCCCCCTCCTCGCTTCTTCAGATTCACCGCCATCAGCCTTCCATAGTGGCCATCGAGCTGCGCCGGCGATAGCCGGCCCTTGATAGTTTGGCTTCTACCCCCTAATTTCCGCTCTACCATCCGTTATCCATGGATTCGGGCTTCATCTTTCGGCGTTAGGGCTGCGTCTTCTACGGCGACGGCTTGTCAATTCGGGGTGATGGCTCCTCCGTTGAGTGGTGGTGGAGCCGTGGTGCGGTTCCAGGGGTGGAACGCGACTCAATTCGGCGACCTTCCTGGTTGTGCGATTGGGGCGTTGCTGATGGTTTTGGTCACCTTCTCTTGTCTTGGCAGGGGTCGACGCGTTCTTTCTTTTACCGGTGGTGTCGGTCGGAGTAGGGATGCGGCGGTGCGGTGGCTTTGGGCATCTTCCATGCTGTCTCGGGTTGGGGCTGGGGCCGCGGCACTCTGGTGTCCGTTCGGGGCATTCGGGTCATGTGGCCGTGGTGCGGGGTGGCTTCGTTTTGTTCCATGGTTAGGGATTCGACTCCGTTAGGCAACCGTGTGGTTTGGGCAGTTTCTGGGTCGGTTCTTTGGCTGCGGATTCTAAGTCGCTTTGTTCCCGTTGGCTCGGCTAGGTGTGTTACTTGGAAGGGCTCGTTTAGTTTAGTTGCTTGTGTTTTCTTTTTTTGTTAGTTTTGTGTTTCTTTGGCTTTTTGTGTTTTGTTAGTTTGTGTGGTTTAGGTTTGTTTCTTAGTCTGTGCGTGATTTTTGGTCTTGATTTTTAGGTTTGGGCCGTTGGCCCCAGTACTGATTCCCCTGTGGGGGGCGTTTCTATTCTCCTGTGGGGAGCGTCCGTAGTTGGTGTGTAAGTGTTTTTAGTTGTGTGTTGTGTGTTTCTATTCTAGCGTTGCTAGCGAGGCTCTAGGCGGTCTTTCGATCCGTCCTTTCAGTTTTTAGTTCTGGGTTGTAATATTCAGCCTTGGGCTGCGTTTGCACAGTTGTGCGTTTTGATATATAATATTTCTATCGTTTCGGAAAAAAAAATATGTGTAACTTAAGTATGTTTTATATTTATCATTAGCCAGCTCCAATTGATATTGTTCATTAAGTAATTTTATCAGCATTTTTACTTTTGGATTTAATGAGAGTTATAAGTTTTGTCATCTTCCTTACGCCTTATTTAGTTATTACAATACTAATAAAATAATTAAAGACTTTTCAAAGTATCTTGTTTGCTTTGAAAAATAATTAAATCTTGACTTTTGGTTTCTTAAAATATAACTTATAAATTGCAATGACATGTTATTTTGATGGTATTTTTTTTTTTTTCTATTAACTAAATAATGCTCCCAATATGAAATTATTTTGGATCTATCACTGCAATTATCTTTCCAATGGAACTTCTATTGAATTTTTGCATAATACCAATGACAATTTTTTAAACGATTGAAATATGGTCCAAAAAATAAATTCCAATAGAAATTCAGGTAATTGAAATCTTTACATCCACTAAAGTTCATGTAATTTAATTTGAACTCTATTCGAATAGCCAATGAAAGCAACATATTCGTTGAAATTTTCAGTAGAATACATTACCGTTGAATTTTTCATTGCAGTATAACAAAATTTTTGTAGTCCTCTCAAACATTATTTTTTATGTAGTATTTATTGAGTAATTTTGTTTACAGTTTTTCTATTAAAAATATATTAAACACGTGAACTTTTTAGTTCCTATAATTTTTTTTCTTCGGAAATCACTCATTATTTTATCTTAAGGTTACCTATTAATTTACCAATTGAGTTACATTTCTTACATTTTAAATATTATATAATTAAAATATTTCTTGTTTTATCTATTCAATATCATACTTATATATTATATTAAAAAAACTATTATAGTAAATAAAAAAGTTATTTAAAATTAGAATAAAAAAGATTTTTTTTCTAAACTACATGTATAAATGTACAAATAAAATTGTCTCACTTCAAATTTACACATAAAATTAATAAGAACAAAAAACTAACAAGTGTTTAACAATTCAGTTCGATTACATCGATAAGTATATTTTTAGAAGGCTTATATTTAGTTATATTAATTATATTATTTTTGTTTATTAGTTTGTTTTATATTTATTAGTACGTGTCACAACTTAGTTATTATTCATGTTATTTCTTATATTTAATATTTTTTTAAAATTTTATCTTGTTTTTTCACATGTTCTTAACTGTAGATTTGTCAAAAAAGACATAATATAAAGAATAGAATTTTTTCGATCATTTGCCTCATTATATATCAAATATTTGTATATCCTATATTATATAATATTTAATTAAATTTTTTTATTAATATTTTAATTAAATATTTACAATTCATAAATTCATTAATAATAGTGTCGAGTCAACTTTTGTTCATAAAATTTTTAAAAATATATATTTTCATTGA